CTGTGGCGCTTACAGTGGCCGTACAATAATATTTTAAGACCTTCATAAAAACATGAGAGTGATATTGAACATGAGTCTGGAAGAGCTACTTGATATATCTCCAACTTCTCATGTGCCTCCTGACAGTCAAAATGCCCATCCTGTCGACACATTGAACAAATCAAAGGATTGCTATTGAACCCTTATAAATATATTTAAATTGCAAAAGGGTAAAAATATACAAATAATGTTCAAAAGTTACCAAAATCAAGGCATCCGTCCAGGCCATAAAGAATCAAATGAACCATGTCAAATACATCTTAATATAAAACAAAGATTTTTAAATGACTAATGACTCAAGAAAATAAAATGTATCATAAATGAGAAGACAAGACATCAGAAGGATGTGAAAATATGTTACAAAGGACTCAGAATAATAAACCAGAAAATGGAAATAAGGCAAAAATTCTGTAATCAGGAGTAGTTTAATACAATAGTGGGTGGTCACCACTGAAAGCATAATTAAGGAAAGAAAAAGAGAGATAAAGAGAAATCAATTACAAGTAAAGAGAGAGAATTAAGAATTTGATAGAAACTGATAGATCTAAAAGTACTAAGTTATAATTTTAAAAACAATAGAAATGTGACCCATACAAATATAAAACTGACACACAAAAATTTATAACTATCTCATTAATGGTGGTATCAATAAAATGAGACATATAAAGTTTTTAAGTAACAAGCGTTTATGGCTTATTTAGAAAAGTTATAACACAATATTTTGTTTCCTTTTTAATTTTATTGAAGAAAATGTACACAGAGAAAAGTACATAACTCTTAAGTGTACAGTTGGATGAATTTTTAAATTGAATATACCTCTGTAAACAAGCCCAAGACAAAGAACATTGCCAGACCCAGCGAACTTGTATTCTTTCAGTCACTATCTCCATGTAAAGATAACCATAGTATGAAGCAAAGACTAATTTCTGTAATAGCTAGTTTTTAAGGACAAAGTTATTACATTTTAATATAAATACAGAATATCTACCATTTATATGTGTCAGTTGCATGGATTTTAATAGACACACGCAACTGTGTAACAGTAACCATGTTATAGGCGATAGAAATATTCTATATTGTAGAATTGTGGAATTCCCTTGCTAATTTCTGCAAAAATGCTTTTCTTATTTTAACTAGGATTGCACTGAATATATAGATCATTTGGAATTGCATTTAATTAATAGATCAGTTTCCTCTTTATCCCTTTCTTTCATTCATTTGTTTTTAAATTCAAATTTCATGATCAACATTCCCTATCTATAAATTTAGTCTCCCCAGGTGTTGAGCTTAGGCACATATGTATTTTAAACAAATTTTTGAACAAGTAACTTAAGCATGTAGCTAGGAACTAATTTATAGAGAAATATAAAAGATTTCTAAGACAAGACCCTGACCAACACAAAAAGTTTGACATTTATCTCTGTCAGATCTCTAATATTCTGTTTTATTACATAGAATATTAAAGTTATCTGCATAGTGCCTCATCTCTGCTTTCAATACTTCCTGTTTATGTATTCACATCTTTTCTCTTTTTTTTTTTTTTTTTTTTTTTACAAATAGTTTATTGTCAAATTAGTTTCTACATAACACTCAGTGCTCATCCCCAAAGTGCCCTCCTTCATGCCCATCTCCCCCTCCCCCCCACATCCATCAGTCCTCAGTTTTTGTCAGCATTCAAGAGTCTCTCATGGTTTGCCTCTCTCCCTTTCCCCCACCATTTCCGCCCTTCTTCTCCCCCTTGGTCCTCCGTCAAGTTCCTCCTAATCCTCCTATACGTGCAAACATATGGTATTTGTCCTTCTCTGCCTGACTTATTTCGCTCAGCATAACACCCTCAAGGTCCATCCATGTTGCTACACATGGCCAGATTTCATTGTTTCTCATTGCCATGTAGTATTCCATGGTATAGATAAACCACATCTTCTTGATCCATTCATCTGTTGATGGACACTTAAGCTCTTTCCATGTTTTAGCTATTGTGGAGAGTGCTGCTATGAACATTGGGGTACATGTGCTCCTATGCCTCAGCATTTCTGTATCCCTTGGGTAAATTCCTAGCAGTGCTATTGCTGGGTCATAAGGGAGTTCTATTGTTAGTTTCCTGAGGAACCTCCACACTGTTTTCCAGAGGGGCTGTACCAGTTTACATTCCCACCAACAGTGCAGGAGGGTGCCCGTTTCTCCACATCCTCGCCAGCATCTAGAGTTCTCTGATTTGCTCATTTTAGCCACTCTGACTGGCGTGAGGTGGTATCTCAGTCACATCTTTTCTCTTTATTAAACTCTCAGTGAGCTTAAAATATATTTTCATGCCACTTTGAAGTATGACACTTTAAAAGATAAATAAATATAATAATCTTTATGAAATGATCATGAAGTTTGTCATACCGTATTTTGAGACAAGTAAAGAGATTATATGCTCTGGAAGAACGAACTGGATTTTTGAAATCATAAATTCAATGGCATATAGCTATTTGGTACACACCCAGGATTGTGTCCTATAGCATTAGATTGTTTTCCAGCCCTATGTATTGCACTACACTGAGGATTATTTTATAGCAGAGTCCAAAGCACATTCATGTGATCATTTTTATCATGTCGTTCATTGCTCCAGAACCACTCATTTGCTATGAAAGAAAAACATGAAATTATCTGACTACTCTGTCCCAGAAGATAACTACTGTATTTTTCCCTTGGAGCATCCCTGTGGACCTCAAGAAGAGCTTGACAGTGTGCTATAAAAGTTTAAATGATTAGTGTTCATAAGGTACCTTAACTGCATGAGCAGTTCATTTCCACAGGTAAGGAGAAAGTGTTTCTTATCACTTACAAAATATTTCAGAAGTCATAACCTTGAATCTCAAATTAGATTCCACATGTTAATATTTAAATCTGAGACAGGAATTTCTAGCTAACTTAGAGCTTAATTAAAATTGAACAAGGGAATTCCAGGGAACATAACAAGGGTAATAAGAAAGATTCCTTACATATTTAGGTCAACAGATTCATAAGTTTGACATTTGATTTCATATTATTGATGGAAGACAACAATTTGGAATAAAGGTTGTTGAAATAAAGGGCTAATTACAAATTTAAGAAAATTATTAAATAGAGAGAAAATTAACTATCAACCAACCATTGGGTACATGCCATTTGGGAATCATATATTTTTTCTAATGCAAAGATAAAAATGAATTTTAAATTTGTTTTACTAGTTAGTTGCTTTTTCAAGAAGACACTTCAGTTTTGTTTTCTATTTTTATAAATCATGCTTTGCTTACACTTGATGGCTTTATAAAAGATTCAAACACATGAAGATGTTATTTTGTATTGTTTCCAGAAGATAACATTTCCAGAAGTATGGCATGTCATAATGAATTGCAACATAGTCAAGTGGATTTAGCTTATTTTTTGATCATTACAAAAGTTTATTTAACAAAAAAGTTCAATATGAAAATGTACATAACTTGGTTTTTATATTGTAGTAAAATGGGTGCTATGGAGAGGGGATGTGTGGAAGCAGTTGATTTCTTTTAGTGAATATACCCATTGTTTATATTCATTCCGAGGCTTCTAACATGATGATACTATTTCCTTGTAGCACCACTCCAATACTCTTCTGTTGCCTATTAGTTGCCATCCCCACACATCTATCTATCACAGGATTCATAAAGGGATTGAACCCCTGCACTATTCCTTGGACAAGTCTACCATTTAATTGCAATGATAAACTTGTCCGTGAGTTTTCTCAACTCGGGAGGGTGAGCTTTGTTCATGGTGTCTATTCAACGACCTGAAAGATTCCTCCAAACGGAATTCATGGTGTCCCTCATGCTCCCACTAGGCATAGCTGAAAGTGTGGGACAGAGAAATCTGGTCTTGAATCCTGACTCTGTTTCTAACTATCTGTATGACCATGGACCAGTCAGGCTGTTTTACAGTTTTCTCATCTATAAAAGGATGCTAAATTATTTAGTTGGCAGGTTGCTATGCAGATGACATAATGTACACCCAATTTCCAACCCTCCGTAGCCACTTAATATCATGTGGCTGCAGCTATCATTGCTTTCCTTCTCAAGCTTAGCATTTCTAACATTATTCTCATAAATGTACCCTAACTTATGTTTTCTAACTGTATTACAGGTGAAGAACTGAAAATTTTAGACTTCCAGATTGGTCTACTGTGTTAAATTTGAGAGTCTATGTTTTTGGCTATATAATCTCTATTTCTTAAAATGAAATGAGCTAGATGATGGAGAATTATTATGGACAAAATCATCAGGGGTCTATAAGTAAACATACTATCATTTTATTATATGATCAAAGTACAATGCAATGAGAGTAATGCGTTCTTAAGGTGCCTGATACCATAAAATATTGGGATGGTCAGAAAGGGCTACCCTGTATGACAAGCTGAAATTAAGTCTAATATCCTGTATTGTACTCATTTGGGAATATTTTGAATTTAAATAATTTTCACATTTTATTTTTCTCATTTAACTGCATTCCAGTGATATACATGTAGTTGGTCCCATTTTAACAACCAGACACACACACACACACACACACGGAATTTAACACACATTGTACAAGATCTAGAACTATTAACAGATATGTAATTTTTATTATAATAGTTTCAGATTTTTAAATTTATATATTTATTCATCTTTGAGGATTTTAAGATGAGACAATATGAAGCCAGGTGGGAGAAAATTTAACAGAAACTAACTGGAAATTAACCTATAGTTGGCATAATTTGTTTAACATGATAAATTTAGCCAACAACCTAATAAAATAATTTCTTTAATTTATGTATGCAGGGTAATGCTTCCTCTGGGACACAACTTCTTCATCACTGCTTATTCCTTCACTGACAAGAATTTCACTATGTCCTTCTAAGAAACAAAAGTGAGAATACATAAAGTGGATTCTATTTTCAAAAATACTGCTATTAAAACCTATAAATAAACACTAAAATGTCAGGGTTGACATCAGACTTAGATTTATACACAATCAAGTTGAAAAATGTAACTGAGGTCACTATGTTTATATTGATGGGCTTCACAGGTGATTTTGAGGTGCAAATCTTCCTCTTTTTACTATTTCTAGCAATCTACCTTTTTACTCTGGTAGGAAATTTGGGACTGGTTATATTGGTCATTGAGGATTCTCGGCTCCACAACCCCATGTACTACTTTCTGAGCGTATTGTCTTTCTTGGATGCCTGCTACTCTTCAGTTGTCACCCCAAAAATGCTGGTCAATTTCCTCGCAGAGAATAAAGCCATTTCCTATGTTGGATGTGCAGCACAGATGCTTCTCTTTGTTACCTTTGGGACCACAGAATGCTTTCTCTTGGCTGCAATGGCATATGACCGCTATGTAGCAATCTACAACCCTCTCCTGTACTCAGTGAGCATGTCACCCACAGTCTATGTGCCACTCATCGTTGCTTCCTTTGTGGGTGGCATTTTGCATGCTTCTGTACACACAGTGGCCACATTCAGCCTGTCCTTCTGTGCATCCAATGAAATTAGACATGTCTTTTGCGACATCCCTCCTCTCCTCGCCATTTCTTGTTCTGACACTCACACAAACCAGCTCCTGCTCTTCTACTTCGTGGGCTCTATTGAGATAGTCACTATCCTGATAGTTCTGATCTCCTATGGGTTCATTCTGTTGGCCATTCTGAAGATTCATTCTGCTGAAGGGAGGCGGAAAGTCTTTTCGACATGTGGCTCTCATCTAACTGGAGTGTCAGTATATCATGGAACCATCCTTTTCATGTATGTGAAACCGAGTTCCAGCTATGCTCTGGATCATGACATGATAGTCTCCACATTTTACACGATTGTGATTCCCATGCTGAATCCCATCATCTACAGTTTAAGGAACAAAGATGTAAAAGAGGCGATGAAAAAATTACTTGGTAAAAATGGGTACTTTTCAAATTGGCCACTAAATTAAGCAAAATTAAGAATGTTATTTATTATCTTCATATTAAAATGATAGAAATGTTTTGCTTTCATTTATTTGTGCCTTTCTCTTCTTTTTATATATTTTCATATAAAAATTATGGTCACATCTCCACCTGTACAGTTTTCATGTATGTAGAAAATGTCTGTCATTCATTTGCTTCTTCCTTAATTCATTCTGAAATACACACAGGCACACAACATACCTTTATATACACGTGTGTACATATACATGCATCTATGCTGATGTTGATAGTATTCGTTTGTTCAGGCTTCCATAACGAAGTGTCACAGACTGGTGGCTTTAACAGCAGAAATCTATTTCTCACTGTTACAGAATCTGTAAGTCTGAAGGTAAAGGTGGAGAGAATTTCTTCCTTCACTTACAGATCGCAGTCTTTTCGTTCTGTTTCCACATGGTCATTCTTCTCAGTGTTTCTGTGTTCTGATCTCTTTCTATGACACCAGTTATCTTAGATTAGGGTTCACTCTAATCACATCATTTTGGATTAATTATATCCTCAAAGGCCTTATGGTCAAATATAGTCATATTCTGAGGTACAAGGAGTTAGGTTTTCACCATATAAATATTGGTGTATGTGTGTGTGTGTGTGTGCGCATGTGCACAATAAATATATTTATTACACATAAATATATTTACATATATACACATACATATACTTATTATTTGTAAGTATATTTATATATACAGAGTCATATATGCATGTGATATTTACTTTAAAATGTATAGTATTACCTTTCATCCTCATTTGGGTCACACTAGATAGTCTCCCATAGTTGCAATTATAAATAACTTTAAGGCTATATCTGAATAGCTTGAACGAATACCACCTCACTGACAGCAAAACCAAGCTCACATAATCCCAATCCATTTCCATAGAGTCATTGGCATCTGACTCCTGATAAAAGCATTTTGCTCCATCCTTAAATCTGTGCATTGAGAGCAGGGACCACAGATAAAATACTTAAATCTCTGGTGTCTTTACCATGCTGCTTGTGAGGGTGCATCTCTCCCCTTTTCATTATGTCATTCAGAGCATGGGCATTAAATCCATTTTTACTCCCTCACACAATACAAAGATCAGGCCTTAGCACTGATCAAGATTATACTTAAATGCAACAATGACAGAAAACCAGCACGATTGAGAGAGTAATTTACAGCTGGCTCGCGGAAGCTGAGCTAAGCCGCAGCCCATCTCTGTAGGTTTGCCTGCTAGCCTGGTATAGATCAGCTTTGGCTCTCTTTCCTTCTGACCACTACCACCTTATTGTAGTCTTACAGATGCCAATACTCTTCCGTACCCAAACCCAAGAATTAAGGTATAGGGGCGCCTGGGTAGCTCAGTCAGTGAAATGACCAACTTCGGCTCAGGTCATGATCTTGCCGTCTGTGGGTTCAGTCTCTGCATCGGGCTCTGTGCTGACAGCTCAGAGCCTGGAGCCTGCTTCAGATTCTGTGTCTTCCTCTCTCTGTGTCCTTTCTGGCTCATACTCTCTCTTTCCCGGTTCATTCTCTCTCTCTCTCCCCAAAATAAATAAACATTAAAAAAATTAAAAAGAACCACCATATAGAAAAACATCCTGACTATACTCATGTTTAGCTCTGTTTCCAAAAGACCTCTATTTCATTGCAAGGACATGTGTCCTTCAAAGTTAATCAATTGTAAGTAGTTGTGGTTTTCCATCCTTCTGTCTTTTTTTTTTAAAGTTTACTTTTATTTCTTTTGAGAGTAAGATAAAGAGCAAGCAGGGGAGGGACAGAAAGAGAGAGAGATAGAATCCCAAGCAGGCCCCATGCATCAGTGCAAAGCCCCACATAGGGTCCCAACCCACAAACTGCATGATCATGACCGAGCTGACACCGAGCTGACTTAATCAACTGAGCCACCCAGGTACCCCTCCTTCCTTCTTTCATACATTTCATTATCATCATCATCATCATCATCATCATCATTATTAATTTTTTATTTATTTTGAGGGGAGGAGGGGCAGAGAGAAGGAGAAAGAAAATCCCAAAGAAGGCTCCACAATGTCAGTGCAGAACCCGAGGCAGGGCTTGAACTCACAAACAAATGAGATCATGACCTGAGCCAGAATCAAGTCAGCGCTTAACTGACTAGGCCAACACAACACACCTATTATTAATATTATTATTATTTAGTGTTAAATTCCTTTGGTTCTAAGATGATCTCCTTACAGCATAAAACACAACGTAAGGATATTTCCCTAAAGTGGGATTATTAAGTATAAGTAACACTTTAATTGTACAAATATAGACAATCTTTTACCACAATATATACCTGTTGCGGACGAAATGACACAAAGGACAAGACACACACAAAAGACAGACACAGACACAACTCCGGCCAGAGGAACAATTCTACACAAGCCCCTCTTGCGGTTTATTTTATACCCCGGTAACTGGATACAAACTGAAATCTACAAGATGCATTCCTTTACCAATTAAGGGCAAGTAGCCAAACACATTTCAAGGACAGGGGGAGAAAAGGGAGGAAGTGATCACAACATGTTTACTAAGAGGCCTGCCCACAACTCCAGCCTTCTCCTTACTTCTAAGGAGGGCATGTTCCCTCGTTTGCGAGCGGACCATTAAACTTGGATATTGTGTGCAAGCCTCCTGGCAGAGCACCCCGTTTGCAGGCATGCTTTGCCCAGGCAGGGAGCCCCGTGTACAGGCACATCCCCGCATCCCTAACCACGCTTTCTTGTGGTCACTGTCGGGCTCCCACAATACCCCTCAACAATTTTTCTGCATTTTTTTCCTTCTGTTTGTAAGGTTCTCTGGGCTGCCATTCACATAACTCCTTTTTTAAAATGCCTGTTCTTAGTGAGGATTTCATTGACTACATTATGATAATTAGAATTTACTTCCTTCGAATAGCCTCATATCTTTCCTTCTTAAATACAACCTTTTCACTTATCACAATTTCAAATAATATGTATTTAATTTATATTTGATTTATTGTCTGATCTATTTTCCAGATATGTCTGGAATTTTGTCACATATCGTGGCTCAATCAACATTCCCTATTTATTATGTTGTGGGGAGAGACACAGAGATCACCCAAGACCACTGAACTTGAATAAAGGGAGTCTTTATTACCGTCCAGGACAGCACAGAGTGAACACAGAACTCTAAAGGTGAGACCCTGAGTCTAAGGGCTTAGGGCTTTTTATAATAAACAAGCAGGCAAGCAGACACTACAGAAGCAGAATTGAACTGTTATTGCAAAAGGCCACAAAGCGGTAAGGAGAGTGGCCCTTATCCTGGTACGTAGGCAAGGTTTAGGGTTGTAGGGGATTTTCAAGAGAATGGCCATTATCTTGAGGACAAGGTACAAAAACTGCCTTATAAAAAAACATTAGCAGGGAACATTAACCCTTGTCTTTTTACTTTTCTTTTTCTTTGCATCTGGGGATAGTCACACAGCCCTGCAAGTGCAGGCCCCGAAGGTAAACTCTGGGTCCAGATGGAAGGACTGAGGCTAAATTCAGGTGCAACAAATTAAATTCAGGGAACCAAATGTTACAGAAACTGGTCTGGATCACCCGGCGGAAGAACCAAGCGGCACTCGGAGATCTTGGAAGGCAGGAGGTTTACTTTACAATGGTGGGCTCAGAGGAGACCAGTCTCCAGAGGTCTGAGCCCCGAATGCAAGTGGGAAGGGGTAATTTATAGCATCATCTTCTGTATTCATGGCGGTTTTCCAGAGCTTGGCAAACAGGACGGGGAGAACCTGGAAGAGAAGTCTCTAAGCTAGAAACTAAAGCTTGTTTTAGTCCTGTCAGCCATCTTACGGTGTAGAACTTATTTTCCCAACAAATTCATGTATATATGAATATATATATATATGATTATATATAGAGAATATATATAGTTTATAGTTATGTATAAGAATATAGTTTATAGTTATATATAACTATATATATAGTTATATATAAGAAATATATAACTATATATGTATTGTTTATATAAGAAACTGTCAAAACATTTTATTTAACCCAATGAAGGGATGCATGTAAAAAAAGATAGAATGTAATTAGGTACTGTCTTAGATTTTCTAGTTGACATTTTTCCTTTTATTTATTTATTATTATTTTTTATTTCTGAGAGAGAGAGAGACAGCGTGAGCAGGGGAGAGTCAGAGAGAGAGGGAGATACAGAATCTGAAGCAGGTTCCAGGCTCTGAGCTAGCTGTCAGCACAGACTCTGATGCTGGCTTGAACCCATGAACTGTGAGATCATGACCTGAGCCGAAGTCAGATGCTCAACAGACTGAGCCACCCAGGCGTCCCTACATTTTTCCTTTTATTTATTTTTCTTAAGTACTTTATTATCAAGTTGGTTTCCATATAACACCCAGTGCTCATCCCAATAAGTGCCTCCCCCATACCCCTCACCCCCCTTCCCCACTCCCCCACCTCATCAGCCATCAGTTTGTTCTCAGCATTCAAGAGTCTCCTTTGAAATATGCTCTTTTTCTGTTGATCACTTTGCTATTTTTTTCTAGCTTTCCTTTTTGGGTACAAATTTTCCAGTGACTATTGTGTCAGTGGAACACATATTTCATCATTTCATGTTTTTGTAATCAGCATTTCTGATTTTTTCCCATTTCTTTTTGACTTAGGGATAGTTTAGTAACATCTGAGAATACTTAAATGAATACATTGAGAGGTTTTTTTTTTACATTTGTTACTCATTTCTAATTTTTTTTTTTCTAGGAGAGAGAGATAGAGAGAGACAGCGTGAGCAGGGGAGGGTCAGAGAGAGAGGGAGTCACAGACTGAAACAGGCTCCAGGCTCTGAGCTTGCAGTCAGCACAGAGCCCGACGCGGGGCCCGAACCCACGAACCGCGAGATCATGACCTAAGCGAAAGTCGGACGCTTAACCGACTAAGCCACCCAGGCGCCCCTGTTATTCATTTCTAAATAGAATGTAATTTTTAGAA